CGTGCTTCAAAATGCCATTGACCTTCAGCAAGGCAGCAAGCTTCAAGCTTTGAGGGGAGTCAGTGATGTAACCAGCTTTCTCTGCACAAAACACGAATGATGACGAGTAAGTAAAAAACAATGAAAAAACGAACGCGACAGTTTCTGACCGTCACTTACTGATTAAAGCTGCGAGCATCGCATCAGGATCGGGTGACAGGTTGAGCGTATCCGGCTTGAAAAGTAAGTCGTCGCACGACTCCTTGATGTGGAACTGAAATTAAAAAAACACATCGCATTAGTGACTGTTTGTAAACAGCGCAGACGGCAAAATAGAGGTAATACTCACCCGCCAATTCACTTTGGCGAGCTGATCATCGGCAATTTTCTCTGCCAAATGCTTCAACAGCGCCAATGCATCCTTCAGATCCGCGTCCCTCTTCTCAAGCTGCTGACGAAGCTCCACATTCTGCTTTTCCTGGTCGTCAGCCTTCAGTTGAAGCTCGTCATTCACTTCCAGACGCTGCCGTCCCTCCTCGCAAAAACGCGTAGCCTTGGTAGTATAAGCCTTCCCTATCGCCCGGGTCATCGCCAACTCCATCAAGCGATCTCCAGTTTTGCCTGTTTGGCCGAAAAAAGACGCAACAGAACAGCAAAATTAGCGAGTGTAAGCACGGATGAAGCGTGTCACATAAACATTCACACACCCGTAGAAGCAGCATCTTGTTTCTTAGCGACGGTTGCATCGACGTTTGCAACCATCGTCGCTACAGCAGGGAAACAACGTTCACCAGTGCGTTCAGGTGAATCGGCAGGAGAAGCCTCGATGGGCGAAGCAGAGGTGACGACAGGCTGTTGGTGAAGGGCAGGATTTGTCGCCGTAGGGAGCGCCGTGTCCTTCACCCACGTACAAGTGACTGTTGGGGGGGATTTGTCAATCTGGCTCCGTCGAGTTTGTTGACTCCATGCCCCGATGGGCCCGGCGATTGGGTTGAGATTCGTCGACTGCATCGTCAGCTACATCAGCAACACCTGCAACAAAATAACTAAAAAGAAATCACTTAAAAAACATCACATACGAAAGCACGATTCAAGAAACTATTTTTTACTAATGCTAAGTACCTGAGACAGCGTTGGTCGAAAGGTACTTGTGGTTCTCCTTGCTTAGACGAGTCATGAGGGCCGACACTGCAAATGCATCATAGCGGGAGGGACTCGTGAAGAAATGAGGAATGAATGAACTAGCGAACAGGTGGGTACAAGAAGGAAAACCTAAAAGTGTTGTACCCCATATTGTCTACCCCACTACAACCTACACAGACTATAGCATATGAGTTTGACACACCCCCATAGGCAAACTGGGGGATAACAAGAGGTCACAAGACCAGTAAAGCAAAGCAAAGCAAGGTCAGGATGGATCACAACATCACCACACAATCCGAGCACAAGAGCAAGGCCAAAAGGCCAGTTCACATGCAAGATCATATATAAGGTAAACAAGCAAGTGCAGGTATAGAAAGATCACAGTACAAGCAAGGTCAAGAAGTGAGCAAGTGGGGCCAAGTAGGCACAAGACCTAGCATCGTACAGAAACGCTGATGATCACCAGGCGAAGTGCCTTGGTAAAGATATCAGCAGTGTTGGCCTTAGAGACCACATAAGCAATGCGCAGCTGACCACGCTGCTGCAGCTCACGAGCAAAGAAGTAGCGAAGAGCAATATGCTTCGTTCTGTGCTCCGGTCTGTGCTCCCGACACAAGGCCAGCATGGCCTTGTTGTCTACGTACAGAACTGGAGGAAAACAAGGCGGCTCTCCTAGGTCAGTCAGCAGGTAGGTGAGCCAGCGTAGCTCCTGTGCAGCAATGGCCCCCACATAGATTTCAGCCTCACAACTGGAGCCGAGAAGAGAAGACGAGCGGGTAGACTGCCACGAAACAGAGCCGGAACCAAGGCTGAAGGTGTAACCCTGTGACGACCGCTACGTAGCCTGGTCGTGAGCCCAAGAAGCATCTCCGTGACCTGTGAGGACCACTCGACGTCGCCCTCCAAGCACTAGCCCCATGCCTGACGTACTGCACAAGTAGCAAAACACCCTCTTCGCTGCAGCCATGTGCTCTGGTCGATGTCTCCCCAGGAGCAACATAGCGTGCCAAGATGCTAAGAGGGTATGCAAGGTCAGGTCGTGTGCAGGTCATCAAGTACATGAGGCAGCCAACAAGCTCTAGGTACGGGCCACTCGACTCTACGGACTCATCCGAAGGCAGAGCTGAGAGCGAGTGGCGAGTAGACAGAGGAGTGGCCTGAGGCGAGGAGTACGTGCAGTTGAAGCACAGAAGGACCTGCTGAACCATGTGTGACTGAGTCAGGGTAATGGTGCGCTGTGCTCTGTCCCGGGTGATCTGCAAGCCAAGGTAGCTGCGCAGTTCACCCAACTCTGTGCACGTGTGTCTCTTCTGTAGCTCGGACTTCACGTGGGCGAGTCAAGCAGTGTCAGCAGTAGCAAAGACCAAGTCGTCGACGTACACGAGGATGTAGAACGGCGGCAAAGACGTGTCGGTGCGTAGAAACACCGACGGGTCAGTAGTAGAAGGAGCAAACCCAAGAGCCGCAAGTGTAGTACTCGGTGTGTCGTGCCACTCACGGGGCGCCTGGCGGAGACCGTAGACTGGTCGCCGGAGGCTCCACTGGGTACCAGGATGAAACGACCCAGTGAAGCCAGGTGGGCAGCGCAGCCAGATCTCCTCGTGCAGGCTGCCCTGCAGGAAAGCCGTTCTGAAGTCAAGAGAGTGAAGCTCGTAGTCGCGCTGAGCGGCTATGTGCAGCAGCACCCGAAGAGTGGTCATCTTCGGGGTGGGAGAGAATGTCTAAAAGTAGTCAACTCCTTGCCGCTGACTGAAGCCTCGAGCCACGTAACGCGCCTTGAAGACAGGCGGAGAACCCGGCGGCCGCTTCACCCTGAAAATCCACATGCCATTGACAATGTTCGCCCCAGGTAGGGGAACCTCGTCAACATAGGTGCCTGTGGACTTCCAGGAAGCCATCTCTGCGTCCATGGCCGGCTGCCACTGAGAGGATTAGGGACCCTCGACTGCCTCAGCGTACGATCGAGGAGTCGGGATGTCTGGTGCATCCGGGTCTCCCTCAGGGTCAATCAGTGTGGACACAAGATGGGGCAAAGCAGCAGCAAAGCACTGGAACTCCTCCTACGTGTCCTCAAGGACGTCCGTGCTAAGAGCACACTCACCTCCGACGGACGGAGGTTTGACAGACTCAGACTCAGCAACGAGACTAGCAACGTAGTCTAGACGACAGCGAGTAGCGAAGTCAACAAGCTCAGCAACTAAGGCAGACGCAGCAACGGACTCAAAGGTAGGGTCAGTGACAACAGTAGCCAGGAGACGCGTGAGAGTAGGACTGGTAGCATGAAGAGAGTCAGATTCCGAGTCAGCAAGAGTAGGAAGAGGGGACTCTGGAGGAGACAGCAACGGGACACGCAGAGGAGTAGTGGAAGGACGCAGTGCCATCTCGTGTGTGTCGGGGACTGCAGGAGGACGCAGACGCGCAGTACGGCCACTAATGTGAGCAGCACGAACAGGCGACGCAGGACGAGACGCAGGCTCAAGACGCTCAGCAAGACCTCCAGTAGGACCAGTGTAGGGAGAAGGAGCAGGTAGAGGGGAGGCGGGCTGTAACTGTGACTGCGACTGGACAGGCTGTGGACACTCTAAGAGAGGAGCAGGAGTAGTAGAGGGTGGGAGACCAAGAACCTGCTCCAGGAGCGGAACGAAGTACGGCCACGGCCGCGCAGCGCCCCCAGACACAGCAAGGACAGCACCTGTATCCCTAGCGGCAGCACCCGCGCCAGCACCACCTCCAGCTCCAACAGCGCCAATTCCAGCACCCTTAGAAGCACTAGCGCCAGCAGCACAGCCAGCGCCAACACCCCCAGCAGCTCCAGCTCCAGCAGCACCAAACCAGTAGGACCGTCAGCTCCAGCAGTCTCAGCAGCACCCCCAGACGCACCAGCGCCAGTAGAAAGACCAGCGCCAACACCCCCAGTGGCTCTAGCTCCAGCAGCACTAACACCGCCAGCAGCTTCAAGAGGACCAACTCCAGTAGCCCCAGCAGCACCCCTAGTCCCAGCAGCTCGAGGACCGCCAGTACGAGCACCTCCGGGACCAGCAGCAACAGTAGTACCTCCAGCTCCAGCAGCACGTCTCCAGCGGCGGGCAAACCACTCGCGCAGCTCCCATGGAGAGAGTGGCTCCCGCCTCGACGAAGCACCTCCACCGGCCACACGAGCAGCCCCAGCGCCCCTAGGCTCCACACCCCCATGCTCCGCACCCCGAGTCTCCGCACCCCCAGGCTCAGCACCCCCAGACCCAGCACCCCCAGGCTCAGCACCCCCAGTCTCAACACCCCCAGACTCAGCACCGCCTGACCCGGCACACACAGGCTCAGCACCTCTAGCAGCACCAGAGTTAACAGCTACCTCGAGAGGCTTGAGTGCGTCTACCTGAGATACACTTGACGGGGCAGGACCCTAAGGGGGGAGGGGGTTTACCGGGGGAGGACCTGGCACAAGGAAGAGCGGCGGCGGGGGGAGGGGCGCAGTGCGGTAGGGGAAGAGACGGTAGTAAGGCACCGACTCGTCAAAGGTGACGTCCTGGGAGGACAGAACGCGGCGGGAGGTTGGGTGGTAAAACAACCACCTAGGCGCATCAGGGGGGAAGCCAAGGAAGACGTAGGGAACAGCACGAGGGGACAACTTGTCCGCATAGAGGTCGCGAACAAACGCCCGAGATCCCCAGACCCGAAATGCAGACGCATCGCCAACCTTCCATGTCCACCGCAAGGTGGGGGAGGTCTTAGGCAAGGAGACCCGGGGCTGAAGGTTGAGCTGATGCGCTGGGTACCGAACCGCATATGGCCACAGAAAATGGGGAGCAGCCGCATGGATCATGGACGTACGAGCGACGTCCATGACCATGCCAATGCCGCGCTCAGCAATCCCATTTTGCTGTGGAGAGGCCGGAAGCGTGAAGGTCTGACGAATGCCCTGTGCATGACAGAATGCTCCCAGACGGGCAGAGGAAAACTCCCCGCCTCTGTCAGAGTGCAGACGCAGAACAGGAAATTCCGAGCTGAAACTCTCTCTGAGCTGGAGACGAGCTGCGCGGATCCAGTCGATCAACACCTCAGTGACGTCACCCTTGCTGCGCAAGGGGAAGACTGTAGTGTAACGCGAGTAGTCGTCAACCACCAACAAGAAGTAACGCTCGTGCCCCTGTGTGGGCGGGGCCCCACACGTCCATGTGAAGAGTTTGCAGCGCAGCCTCTGTCGGAGGAAACTCGGAGGAGTGAGGGGCGGCGCGCTGTCGCCCCTCGACGCAGGGGACGCAGGTAGGGGCAGGCCCCGGAGGTAGGGGAGGGAGAGACCGGGGAAGACCAGAGACAAGGACATGGGAGGCCATGCCTCAGAGACAAGGCAGGGAGGGGTGACTAAGGCGGTGGTGCCAAAGGGTAGTCTGGTGGGACAGGAGACGACACGAGCAGGGAGCAGACTCAGGACCGGACCTGAACGCTGCAGCAAATACCTGACTTGATGCAGCTACCTGACCAGACTCAGCAGTCGGAGGAGACTCAGTAGTAAGTATGTACTGGCTCGACCCCGGCCGACGGGCGAACGTGGCCAAGTGTTGGCCCGTCCGAGCACACGTGCAGTGGGTCACCCGCTGACTCGCAGGAGTGAACTGGTCAACCCCCCTATCCTATAGATCATCTCTACTCACCAAGTTTGTAGAGAACGAGGAGAGGTAGAGACCAGACAGGGTGCCAGAGGGGGCTGCCGGGCACGGTAAGTTAGTGGAGAAGCTAGCAAGGACAGGACCCCCAGAGGGGTCCGCCAGGGAGACCGCAACCGGCCGACTAAGCGGCGTAAGCGTGGTGCGGTCTCGAAAGAAGGAGCGGGAAGCACCCGAGTCAAGGGTGAAGGTGTGAAAGGCCTGAGCCAACGTGGTACCTGAGAGGGTAGACTCACCAGCACCTTGGGCAATAAACGCACTAGCACCTAGAGCAGCAGCCTCACCAGCACCTAGAGCAGCAGACTGGATACCGGGGTCAGGCGGCACACACAGGTGACAGACGCCCTCGGCATTAGTAAACAATGCATACATTTCAGTGAGAATAGCATCTTAGTCAAGAGCAAAGATATCTACCGTCTGCCTAAGGAGCTCCAGACAGTCAGGGAGCTCAGCATCGTCGCCAAACTCTGTACGCCAAGCGTCGCTCAGACGCGCGAAGCAGCGGGACTCTGTGTGACTATGCGTTCGGCAAGTCTGACCAGTCCGGACAACAGTGCGAATAACGTACGGGCAGCGAGCACTACTCAGCGACCCTCCACTCTGAGCGTACCACTCACGAAGCTACCGGGGTGAAAGAGTCTCGCGCGGAGAACGCTGCTGCTGCACCGGGCCACTACGAGAAACTCCCGAACTACCCACTCCAGGACGACTCCCACTACTGTCACCCCGACAAACCCAACTGGTGTACCACTCACAAAGCTATTGGGGGGTGAGGGACTCACGCGGGGGACGCTGGAGCTGCATCCTGTCACTACAAGCAGCTGCGGAACTACTCACTCCAGGACAACTCCCACTACGGCCACCCCGACAACCCCAACTAGCGTACCACTCACGAAGCTGTTGGGGGGTCAGGGACTCACGCGGGCGATGCTGGAGCCGCATCTGGCCACGCCAGGAGCAGCAGTAGCAGTAGAAAGAGCAGTAGTAGTAAGAGCAGCAGTATCAGCAGTACGGGCAGGGCAGTGCTCACCAGTGGCGAGAAGGGCAGGCGTACGACGGCGACAACGACGAGGCTGCTACCACTGTAGGGCGAGAGCTCCGCGGCAGCTGCAGGGGTGGCTACTCCAGTGGCAGCTGCTCCAGGGGCGGCTGTTGTAGTGGCGGGTGCTCCAGGGGCGGCTGCTCTAGGGGCGGCTGCTGAAGTGGCGGCTATTCCAGGGACGGCTGCCGCAGTGGCGGCTGCTCCAGGGGCGGCTGCTGCAGTGGCGGCTGCTCCAGGGGCGGCTGCTGCAGTGGTGGCTGCTCCAGGGGCGACTGCTGCAGTGGCGGCTGCTCCAAGGGCGGCTGCTGCAGTGGCGGCTGCTCTAGGGGCGGCTGCTGCAGTGGCGGCTGCTCGAGGGACGGCTGCTGCAGTGGCGGCTGCTTCAGGTCGGCTGCAGCAGTGGTGGCTGCTCCAGGGGCGGCTGCTGCAGTGGCGGCTGCTCCAGTGGCTGCTGCTTCAGGGACGGCTGCTGTAGTGGCGGCTGCTCCAGGGGCGGCTGCTGCAGTGGCGGCTGCTCCAGGGACGGCTGCTGCAGTGGCTGCTGCTCCAGGGTCGGCTGCTGTAGTGGCGGCTGCTCCAGGGGCGGCTGCTGCAGTGGCGGCTGCTCCTGGGGCGGCTGCTGCAGTGGCGGCTGCTTCCAGGGGCGGCTGCTGCAGTTGTGTCTGCTCCAGGGGCGGCTCGGCTGCTGGGTGACCTGACGGCTCAGCTGCTGGGTGACTCGGCGGCTAGGCTGCTTGCTAGGGGCGACGACGGGGCCGGGTAGGGGCGGCAACGGGGCCGCTAGGGGCGGTGACGGGGTCGCGTAGGGAGCAAAGCGACGACGGGGCCGCGAGGGGCGACGACTTGGCCGCGTAGAGGCGGCGACGCGGCCGCTAGGGGCGGCCGCTGGACCGAGTAGGGGCGGCGACGGGGCCGCATAGGGAAGAGAGCGGCGTCGGGGCCGCTAGGGGCTGTGACGGAGCCGCGTAGGGGCGGCGACGGGGCCGCTAGGGGCGGCGACGGGACCGCATAGGGGCGGCGACGGGGTCGCGTAGGGAAGGGAGCGGCGACGGGGCCGCTAGGGGCGGCGACGGGGCCACGTAGGGGTGGCGACGGGGCCGCTAGGGGCGGCGACGGGGCCGCGAAGGGGCGGCGACGGGGCCGCGTAGGGAAGGGAGCGGCTACGGGGCCGCTAGGGGCGGCGACGAGGCCGCTAGGGGCGGCGACGGGGCCGCGTAGGGGCGGCAACAGGGCCGCGTAGGGAGGGAGGCGGCTACGGGGCCGCTAGGGGCGGCGATAGGGCCGCCAGGGGCAGCGCCGAGGCCGCGTAGGGGCGGCAACGGGGCCGCTAGGGGCCGCGAGGGGCCTGGAAGGGTGGCAACGGGGCCATGTAGGGGCGGCAACGGGGCCGCATAGGGGCAGCAACGAGGCCGCGTAGGGAGGGAGGCGGCTACGAGGCCGCTAGGGGCGGTGACAGGGCCGCTAGGGGCGGCGACGGGGCCGCGTATGGGCCGCAACGGGGCCGCTAGGGGCCACGAGGGGCCTGGAAGGGCGGCGACGGGGCCGCTAGGGGCGGCGCGAGGGACCGTGAGAGGGGCCTCTACGAGAGCTCGACAGAAGGGCGGCCCATAAGGTGCACCTCGGGCAGGAGCGACTGGCGCTCCGGTCAGAAAAAAAGTTTCCAGTGGCGGGCCCAAGGAATCGTTCCCTCTAGGAACCTGCTCTATACCATGTGAAGAAATGAGGAATGAATGAACTAGCAAACAGGTGGGTACAAGAAGGAAAACCTAAAAGTGTTGTACCCCATATTGTCTACCCCACTACAGCCTACACAGACTATAGCATATGATTTTGACAGGACTAAGTTTTTCGGATTGCCGCGGGCCATCGTTACAGACTTGAAACTAATAGCCTACAGAAGCATGTAGCCAGCAACATGCTTTTGTAGGTATTTATGATATGCGGGACCGTGATAACAAAGAGCGCAAGCAGAAGCGGCTCGACAACATTAAAAAAAAAAAGGCTATAACGGGATAGAAAACGCACCGTCATGTCATTGGGTCACCAAACGAGTGAGAGCGGGGCGTAAATGATAAGGCTCGGAACGGGGCGCGATCGGATAAGCTCGGCCAAGGCGGAGGAAAGTTGAGTTTGAAACTCAAATTTTGAATTTCCTAAATGAGACACGAAGGCAGAGCAGGAACGAGGTCGTTTGAGAGGAGAAGGAAAGAAAGAGGGGGAAGAGAGGGTGTGTGAGGGTACTAAAGATGCAAAGAGTCATGGGGGTAGCAGAGGGGAGGTGGGGTTCGTGTCTGCCTCGAATCACGTGACAACGCGGTGGATTTCGTTGACCTTGCACAGCTGGAATCACTTCTTCTTGCCCTGCTGGAGGACTCAAACTGTGTATGAGCAGGTGTAGCTCTGAATTTCGTATTGCCTCGTTTGTCGCTTTTGAAACAGTGAAGCAAGCAAAGTGTTGACGCGGTGAATTTTACTGCTGACAGGAACTTTACATCATCCATGCAGACAGGTTTAGTCATGTCGCGGGCAGTTGCACGAAGTAAAGGGTAATGTGTAGCAGTGACGTGGAGCAGGTGTTGGACTGGGAAATCAGCTGTTCTGCCCGCCGATGGAATAATCCACCGCGGTAGTATACTCACAAGGCCAATGAAGACAGCTCCAGCAATACTTGTACTGTTCTGGCTGCTAGAACAGTAATGCTAGAGGGCAAAAGGAAAAAAACACAAAACAGCCGAGCTGTCTGGCCAGTCGTTCAGGCTGGCTTACCCGTTGAGTTGTCGCCGTGCAAAATAAAAGGCCAAAAAAAAAAAACAATCACAGATGTTTGGCCAGTTGTTCAAGATGGCTTACTCGCTGAGCTGTCGCCAGTGCCTCTGGCAGTCGAATCAGTAGCCGAATACTGCACAGCTGCCCGAGGCACACAGTCTACTCGGTATACTACTAACCGCTAACATCGCGTTCAGAAACACAGACGCATCCAACTTTACCAAAATGTGATAGGGTGTAATATGGCTATACCTAAAGTTTATACAATCTTTCTAATTCAAGCAAAGCCAGGTAACAGTTATTTTGTGCCCAAGAATTAGTTACAATATTTACAGAATATACAACCTACCATCTAAAATGGTTCAGGATAAATTTTGCGTTGGGGTGAGCCGGATCTACTGTGCTGGGTACGACATGAATCACACGCAATATACTCTCAACCGGCAGCACCCCATAACCACGGCCTGATGGCCACCACTTTAGTGACTTCATGTCAGTCGTCGGGGACTGTGCGGTCTCACTGTAATAACGGCAGAATGCGAGTTGCTCCGTGATCTGCTCTTCCGTTGTGTCGCCGGAAACATCAACCGTCTCCACTGTCCGTCGCAGCATAAACACACTAAGGAGTTTCGCTCGCCAAATCTGCTTGACTTTGTTGTCATCCTCGCCCTCGATTGTGACATCGGAAAACCAGGGCTTCCCGTAGATCATCGGTGTATTGCGTGCATACTGCGGGTATCTACTATACCTCGTGAAATCATCGTCAGGCGGCACAGCGACACCAGAGTGCACCTCGATCACGCGATGGTAGTGCACCTTAGTACGCTCGCCAGAATGCTCTCCATGAAAGTACGCTTTAATGGTCCCCTCCAGAAGTCGAAAGTCGGCCGGAATGCTCGCCCGGTACGCTTTGAAGTTCTTGTCGTTTGAATCCCCGAGCACCAGTCGTGATGACGATGCTGACACTATTGGACGTCTGCTTTCGATTGCCTGCTCACACAAATAAAGCCAATAACCAGAGTTAGATCTCAAGTGATGAGAAACAGATCCTCGTGTAATGTTCGACGGATGTGCAAACACACACACTCACACCCACACATACACCTCCCTCCACACACACACACATACTCACATATACACTCTCTCACACACACACATATACACACGCATACTCACACACACACACGCACACACACACACACTCGCATGCACACACTCCCACACACACACACGCGCACACATACACACACATACTCGCACACATACACACACACTCGCATTCGCACACACACATACACGCACGCTTCCACTTGCACACATACACACTCTCGCACACACTCATACACACACACTTGCACATACACACACACACTCGCACACACACACACGTACACACACACTTGCACACACACACACATTCGCACACACTCACTCCCACACACACACACATATACACACTCCCACACACATATTCGCACGTACACACACACCCCCATATACATGGTCGCACACACACTCTCATACACATTCACACATACACACCCCCCCACACACACCCCCACCTGCACACTCGCACACATACACACACACACACTCGCACTCGCACACATACACACACACACACACTCTCGCATTCGCACACACACATACACACACGCTCGCACTCGCACACACACACACACTCGCACACACTCATACACACGAACACACTTGCACACACTCATACACACGCACACACTTGCACATACACACACACACATTCACACACACACATACACACTCGTGCACACACACACTTGCACACACACACTCCCACACATACACACATATACACACACTCCTACACACACACTCGCACGTACACACACACCCCCACATACACACTCACACACACACACTCTCATACGCATTTACGCATACACACCCCCCTCACACACACCCCCACCTGCACACACGCACACATACACACACACATACTCGCACACACACACACACTCGCACACACTCATACACACACACACTTGCACATACACACACACACACACTCGCACAAACATACACACACTCGTACACATACACTCCCACACACACACACATACACACACTCCCACACACACTCCCACACACACACTTGCACGTACACATACACCCCCACATACACACTCGCACACACACACACTCTCATACACATTCACATATACATACCCCCCCACACACACCCCCACCCGCACACTCGCACACATACACTCACGCACACTCGCACACACGTACAAATACACACATTCCTACACACACATCCCCACCTGCACACTCGCACACACACACACAAACACACACACACACGCTCGCACTCGCACACACACACACACACACTCGCACACACTTGTACACACACACCTACATACACACACGCACACTCACACATACACACACCCTACATACGCGCACACTCGTGCACACGCACACATACATATTCACACATACACTTACACACAGTCGCACACACACCCACAAATACACACACTCCCACACACACACCCCAATGCACGAACCTGTTGCAGAGCAACGCATCGTGCTTGATTGTCACTGGCCTCCTTGATGGACTCGGTCATCTTCTCGATCAGCTCGGAAATGAGGCAGCGTCGAGTGATCGCTGCCTCGGCGTTCCTCTTGTTCGACGCGCGGTACGGCCGCTTCATTATGGTGACGTGCACATGCTCATATACATCCGTGCAGTAGTGAATTGGGATGCCTCGCCACCTGATGTCGTCGGTAACATGCAGCATCGCGTGTATCTTGGGGACATTGAAGTGCGACTTCTGGTCCGCCTTGAACTCCGTCATAAGCATCGGTACCAACCTGCACGTATATGAACGTAAACGGTGATCAGTGATACATTACTATACAGGAAAACATTTAAGGATGCAACCAAACAACCATACAGCAGCAAGTACGGACGACAAACAATCACAAACACTTTTACTCACGTTCGTGTGAGGTTGTCGAGGTTCTCCAACGAGTCGTCGTCGTGGTACGTCCAATGCCACGCCTCGGAATGCTAGTGGCAGAACAACTCCACTGCTCGGATCGTTTTGTCATCCACCTTGACCATCAACAAGAGCACTGGTAGCACTTGCATGACTGCCTGATGATGGAAGGCCTTGAAAGTGCCATTCCCACTGAAGTATCCGTCGGAGTGCGCCGGTAGTCGAAAGAATGACTGTCTGCTATACTGGGTGATGGT